AGGTACGGTAGACAACACAACGAACCACGACCTACGTTCGGTTTACGTAAGGACGTAGTAGTAGGCGTCTATGTTATAGTAATAGTTAGGTCGAGATACGCTCTCTCTCTCTCTCTCTCTCTCTCTCTCTCTCTCACACACACACACACACACACACACAAAGGTTGCAAGGATCATTAAGGACATCCACTTCACATGACACGAGCTCAATATCTTAATAAAGAATCCATACAGCTACCGGAACCCGAACCTTCAGCTCTGAATATGGAATATTTGGAATCATTTATTTGTAAAGCTCAAAAACTAAGGCAGGGAGTCATTTGATCAGAACACCCGAAGAGAGAGTATTCCTACCACTAATCATTTCTGTGATTTTCCCAATCCCTCTTTCCAAAATAGCAGAAAGATCTATTGTGCAGACCAGGAATGTGGATCTGGGTGGAGGACATTCCATTCCACGCATGAAGGGACTTTCAGACAGATCCGGAATAAGTGAAGTGGCTTTCTAAAAATTCAGAAATCTTTTGAAGCCACCCCCATGCTTACTGCACATCCTCATCAAAACCTCGACCCATCCTTCGCGCCCAAATCCATTTTTCTCAGCATCTAATTCAGACCTACAAACTTACCATTATCCATAACAAAGGACAAGGCCTACCCCAGGGAAGAGGTTTGCCTCTGGAATTCACCCTGGGGATGGACCACGATAACAGGATCACAGGAAGCGATATGGAACATGATCAGGAAGAGTGGTGCACGGTAGTCTGTATGGGCCACTGCAAATGATGGAGACCACATCAGCAGGTCAGGCCTGCACACCACGAACAGGCATCCAGATGGCATAAGTCTATTGGGGAAAGCCTGCATCTCCAAGTGGAGCATGAAATGTCAACCACGCGAATCCAGCCCAAGGAATTCAAACTTCCCTGATTTCCAAATTAAAGAGAGATACATATTTGCCTCCATTTTTAGAATGTCCTGATTAGAACCCCGTCCCCTAAACCCACCCTCACCCCACCAAAACCAGTAGGCAAACGTACCCACCCATCCAAGTATCCAACCATCCATAATGCCATGGGTCAAATCAAAATCTACCAGCCCAGCTCCCACCTCCCCCCTCCCCTTCCTGTCCCTTTCCCCAATAACCAACTACTCTTTGCAATGCAGGCCCGCTCGAGTCTGCCCCTTGAGCAAATCCACATGTACTCAGTTCCCTTCACCCTACCTGGGGCACCCACACAAAGGGGGACGGGGGTGGGGTTGGGGTTTACCTCCTTTCTCCCTCCCCCTAAACCAAAAAAAAACAACCCCTAGCACCTGCCCCTGACCCCGGGGAACTTATCCCCCCATTCCTGGTATTGTTTCCCTCTCTGAGCCCAATAAATGTAACACCCCCTTCCCTCCAGACAACACTCTGCTGGAGATCCCCCCAATCCCCCAAGCCGTCCCTGCCATCCCATCCACTTTCCCCCAGACCTTTGTACATCTACCTTCCCCCAAACCTTAGTACAAGAAGGCCCATTCCCACTCCCCAACCACCGTAAGCCGACTATGCCAGCCCTTTCAACACTGATGTGGAGTCCTCTCTTTCTGTGGACTCCCAAGCAGATTGAATAGGTACTGTTTGGAGCCCAATGTCGAGATGTTTTGTAGGCGATGAGCTTCCTGGACGATGACACCCCACTGACATTAGCAAATTTTGGCAGAACAGTACTGTCCCTAAGGGCAAGGTAAAAGAGATCCATAACCTGTTTGGCGGAGTCAAATAAGAAAAAGGAGACCCCCCATCACCCAAAAGTTTCCTTCTTGGCTATGTCCCCCTAGGATAGCCCACATCCCAGGGGGCTCCAAAGGCACCTGGCCACATCCTCGAACATCCAGAAATGCGCAATGTCCTCAAATTCACTATGTTTCGGCCGAAGCCTTCGGATTTTATGCCTAGACCGAAGCGAATTGAAGCCTTGAGCTACAGCTTCGGTCAGATTCAGGTCTGCTTCAGGCCAATTCGGCCGAAGCAAAAAAAAAATCTATATAAATGGTTTTTTATTTTTTTGAAATTTTTATTTTTAATTTTTTGATTTTTTTTATATATAAATATCTAAGTTATTTATATTAAATTAAAAAAAAAGTTCAAATCTTTCCCCGAATAGGCTGGAGCACCGAATTGCTTCATTTTTCTCACCAAACCCAAAAAGACACCGAATCGAATTTGACAACATTGGAAATAAGAATTATCGTCTGGAACATAAAGAACATATGGGGCTTGAGAGACCTCTTAATAAAAAGGCGCTCCTGATATATTCCCATAAGTATATCCCTGAGGTCCTTGCCATTGTAGAGACCAAGCTCCATTCCCAACCCTTCATATAACCCTCTGAGTCTGGGGCAGACACTCCTGCCAATACTCTCTTGAAGTTTAGGGGGCATCAGGTGGCATCCTAGTCATCTGGGCCATCTCTGCACAACCTACTCGTTTCAGAGTTGGGGTCTTTCCAGGTTTATTTATTTCTTGCCAGAACATCAAACAACTTTCAGTGGAAGTTATCAGCCATGTATGGCCGTAATAGGCCTAACCTGCACGAAAGTTTTTTAAGATGAGCACGATAGGTTGGATCCTTGTCACCTAGGCCATGGGTAATAGGTGGGGACTTCAATGTTACCAGGTGGTCCTTCGAAAAGAATAGCAATGAAAGGATCAGGGCCAGTATATCCACTTTCTCTGACTTCATATTCAGGAACAATCTACTGGATATCCCATTCACGGGGCCAACTTTAACAGGTAAAACCACTTTATCAACCCTAGTCTTTATCCAAAACTGATAGACTCCCCACTCCCCTTGAATGGGAGGAGAAGTTCCTCGGTGTCTATTCCTTTTCCCTTCCAAAACAAAACCTTGGACTATAGACCTATCCTTGTAGATTCTTTGGCCCGTAACGATGTTCGCGAGTTTCTCACCATTTCACACATGAATAAGCAAGAAATTGCAAGACTAGAACTGGTGTTTCAGTCGCTTTTTGTCTTTTTCTGCACTTGTTACTTTTGGTTTATATTATTGTGGGTTAGATGAGGCCAATTAGGAAAGGAGACAAGGTAGTGACAAAGAACAAGTTGTGTTGGATCATGTCCAGTGGAAATGTAGGAGATGCAAATCAGATGATTTTGCCTCAGGTGAATGAATTTTGAAGCTCCTACTAAATAGTTTTTGCAGTGAATGTGAGTGGGTTATGGTTCTTTATTTTCAGGGAATCGTATGAACAACTAAACACCATAAGCATGGTCGTCACAATCCTCAAGTAAGATTACTGTCTGAGTAACTGTAATTTTTTTTTTTGGTTAAAATATTTCCAAAGCAGTAGGAATATGTAAGGAAATAGAAAATGGTAGTGCACTTTCCGAAATATTTCCAAACCTTAGTAAGGAAGAAGGGGGAAACAAGCACACTTGGAGAGCGCAGGACAATGGAGAGTTATATGCTTCGTTCGGGAAGGATGAATCGCTCCCGAAAAAGAATCTATTGATTCTCTCCCAATTGGTTGGATCGTAGGTGTGATGATTTACTTCACGGGTGAGATCTCTGGTTCAAGTCCAGGCTCTTTTGATTTCCAAGAATTCAAAATAGTGACTCAAAGAATGTCCCAAAAAAGTGACCTATAATGGAATTTTTTGATTTTCAGAAGTAAAATACTTTACATGATATTTCTGAAAATTAGCACTAGACAAGGGTTTCCATAATGAAATCTATCAAACTTATTAATTGGCATATTTTCCTCATAACTCCAAAAGTGTGAGCGAGAAGAAATCTTAAGGCTTTTGAAGAAATAAAGCCAAGGAATTTTCAAGTGGGAGAAACCTAAGATTTGGACTAAAAAGGAAGAAAGGTGAAAAGGTTGCTATTTCTTTGTTGTAAGTTAAAGAATGTATGTAGAATACAGGCTAATGATAGGAGTGGCTACATAGAATTCCAGATTATAAATTCAAAAAACATTCTTCTTTTCTTTTATTAATGGTTGGAAATTCTACTCACAATTGCCACAAAACAATACAAAATTAAACCAACCACAATCTAGGATCTCTACAACTCACTGCCAAATAAACTTTATTCGAAACTTGATACAGAATAACAACTTTAGGAAACAAAATATAAGAAAAGAACAACAAATAAATAAATAACTAAGGGAAGACTTACTGGACTGTTGCCTAGGCCTACCTTCTTAGGGCTTAACACCCCCCCCACACCTGATCACCTAACCAATGGGGCAATTAATTCCTCTTAGGGCGTAGCACCCCGCACACCCGACCAATGGAGCAATTAATTCCTCTTAGGGCTTAGCACCCCACACACCCGAAGACCTGACCAATGGAGCAATACCTCCTGGATCCACTGAACTGGAAAGCACCTCTACACCACCCTTTCTAAAGCTTTAGGGCTGAGACCATAGGTCACAATTAGAGATTCACAAAGAACCCTTTTTGAACTAGGGCATTCCACAAGATGGCACCTACCCCATCTAAAACCTAGGGTTGGGTGTGCCCCTTTCCTCTCTAGAGAGGTGCATGCCACCTCAACACTTATGGGGCATGGTGTGCCACCTAGAGAGACAGAGGTCTAAGAGATGTGTAGAGATTTTTTTTTTTTTGTGGGGTTGGGGGTGTGTTGGGGGGGGGGGGAGGTGGGGGAGGCTCTTTATATAGGATTTATCCAGAATATTTAGGTAATTTGTGAGGTGAGAGAAAGAAAAATCTGAGCCATCCATCTCTAAAATCAGCCATTATGATCTGAAATGAATATTTAGGAACCTTATCCCCTAAGATTTGACCCATTATCCACTTCTATCTTATTTAGATTATGACAAGTCAAAATTATCTCTTACTTTAAAAATTCCTTAGCTCACAAAGGTATAAGTAGGAACTTTTAAAACAAATAAACCAGTCAAAAGATAATCTAGATCAGATAAATATCCAATAAAACAATTTTCACTAAGTAACATATTTCAAGATAACTCAATAGAATACTTTTCATCAAATTAAAAAAAGAAAAAAAGAAAAAATAAATGAAGCGTCCCACTTAGTGGGGCATGTAACCCATGCGTGCCACCCCCATGTAGGCCCCACATGCGTAGAGCCTAAGTCCTTAGCCCCCCCTCCCCCCACTTTTAAAAAAATTTCAAGAGCACCCCCTACCTTAGAAATTTTCAGAAATCCTCTTTAGGGAGTTTTTAATAGATTTAAAACAATTCTAAACTTCTAAAAACATATCCAAAATCTCAAAAATACAATTTCAATTGAAAACAATATTTTTGAAGTTCTACCAAAAAACAAATACTGCATAGAAGCAGATGAGTACGATATAGGTCAAAAAATAAACAAGTGACTGTCAGGGCACTCCACCTGTGCCAGGATCCATGATCCAATACTGTTTTCTCAAACCAATCCGACATGACCCATGACCGACAATTAAGTGCAGGGGCTTAGGATTGGCCCGTTAAAGCTGGCCAATAAATAATGGAGCCATAGTCCTAGACTCCTAGTATGTGGATTACAAGTCCCCCCGGCACCCCCAAGGGAAAGTCAAACGCACATAACACTATAGTGCAAGGGGGTCTCTCTCTATGCACATGTACACGTGTCCCTCTATATAAGGCTGTTTTCCAAAATGCCGCGGTCATATATACATGCAATATGAAAGTTTTGTTGAGGATTTTGTCATTATTCTCACAAGCCTTCATCCGCACACAGGAGACCACACAACTCTCTTGGCCTACAAACAATGTCCATGAGTATCTCTCAAACCTCAACAAGGTATGACTATCTATAAACCTTCAACACTAGTGCCACATGCTCAGGAGTATGAGTTTTAGACATGACCGAGGGCCATGGACTGCCCAACCCTAGGTCAGTCAACCACAATACACTCCCATTGAAGTGTATAAGTCACTATGATTTATTATATTCACATGCTCTCACAGCCTTTAAAGGCCCCAACAGCTAAGACACGGTGGCATCCATGTAAGTCTGCTTTAAAGCCTTACTCAGGTATTCTAAGGGACTTTATATCAAGTTTTGTGAGGAATCTACCTTTTTGAGTCGAGAGTGTATGGATGATTTCATATTTAATAGAAAAGAATTCAACATATAAGGGCATGATTTATGGCCCGCTATAAGTTTCGAAATAAAAAACTTGTACATATGTGAAACTAAGATATCCCTATGTACATTATTGTTAGCCCACACTCACAGCAATATATATATATATACACACACAGAGCAAAACACCCAAAAAGTAAACATGTATATAATGGGCAACAACATTCGACATAGAGTTCGATCTTTTGCTTTTTCTTCTTTCTGGGGATAGGGAGCAGGTGGTGCACAACCACTCCAGGTGCATTTTTCATTTCTTTTGACCAATTAATGAAAATACCAGTTATTTTATTTTATTATGATTAGAGGTCCCTTGCCAATATCATTCAATATTGCACAAAGCATAAAGTATACATCTCTAGATGACCCCAGTTCATAATGGTTTCCACAAAAATTCCATTCATCAGTAAAGTAGCCCAGTTTACCTATAAAAGCATTAAATTCTAGGAAGGTCCCATATTCTGTCGAAAAGCACATTGAGTGACATATATCAAAGAATATCCCAATTATTTATAACAGATGCATCTTACGATTTTAACCTACCATATCAAGTGCATTTATGGAAAATGCAGTTTCCTAAATTTTATTGAAAATTTGTTTGCTCATTTAAAGAAACAAAGATAGCAAGAAAGTCACAAACAGGAACTTATTTCATTAGTTGGAAAGACAATTTTCAAGGCAATGGCCAAGACAGCTTACATCTTCAGCAATTTTCAATTGACCATTTGAATCCTGCAAAGGAATGATACAAGCATATTAATATTCAAGCAGTGTTTCAAAAATCACCCAGCCGACTCAGTACTTGTCCAAGATAGCTCAGCTCAGGACCCCGGTAAATCCTGTAACAAAACCTAGGACCTCAAACTGAGTCTCACCTTATTTTGAAACCTTTTTTGAACGTTTTACTGATTCATCCAAGTCAATATTTCGACTTGCCTGAGTTGAACCAGTTGACTCAGGCTCGGGACCTAGCAAGTCCCAGCAAGAGTCCGGGTTCTTAAACCGATTTCAAGCATTTAATAATTTGCACTATGATTTTGATTTTTCGGTTTTGTTTTTTGGCTAAGCAAATATATAACCTCGAACATGTTAATGAACAGCATAATCATCGGTCGAAGATCAATAACTTTTCTTCAGGTACTTTAATCTTCAAGGGTAAGTTGCAAGGATATGTTCTTTTCATCTTTATGATGGCGGTCGCAAAATACAGAATGGAGGTAAGAGTTGGGCAGTTTGCAGTCTTAGCGGATCTCTGGGCATAAGAAACTTTAGTAGCAATTCAATCTTTTGACAAATTCGATGGATTCCTTCAGTTTTGGGTGTGTCTGTATATTTGTCTGTGTGGGAAATTTAAGCAAATCACTCAAGCAAAATTTTCAAAGCCAATGGTTGTATTATTTCAAACAACAGGCAAACTTTTAATATAAATTGAAAAGGAAAATAATTTTCTATTGAAAAGAAAAAAGAAAAACTAAGTATTAAGGATGAGAGACCTTCACAGCAAAAAATAGAAGTGGATCGGATGGAGTATAAATCATATACTGTGTCCCATCCTGCAAGATAATTGATACAACGTAAATTAAGTGCCAACGATGATGCTTATCGTAATAAAGTATGTAGTTGAATATAGTTTCAACAGATAAGAAAAAACTATCGTATTTCTCTTTTGAAAAGCTAAAAGATATCAATCTAGAAATTATGACCACACATGAGTATGCTACACAAGGATAAGGCATAAAAACCAATAAACAATATCAACATAGAAAAATTTCAAGCTGATGTGCACTCACATATGGCTACAAAAAATAAGTGATAATCTTTAAGGATGGTATAGTGCCCACATGATGTGGATGCCTCGGCAGTTCCGATTGCACAAGTTCCCTTCGACGGTTCAAAATACTTTTTTATTCAAAATACTTTTTTATTATTTTTTATGGGTGCACTCTATAAAAGTGAATCTACGCCCCAATTTTCAAGTAAAACCAATTGGTAACTAAAAAAAAATAAGATGAATTTTTGGCCCTTGGATATGGCCTGGTTCAATCTGAACAGTTGGAAGAGTGCCCATCATCCACATTATGTGGATGGGAGACTTTCCCTTAATTTTAAGCTTGCTGAACATGAAATGCTCTGCTTAAAATTACATTTAGAAGCATGTCAAACAGGTCATCAGTGGATTAAAAAAGAAAAAAAGTGAAGAATTGTCAATAAGCAACTGGGTCCAGCACATAAATGGGTGCTTGACCTTCATGATCGCTGCCTTTAGATTCATACTTGTTTTCTATATGACATATCATCATATTACCCTGTTTCCAATTATCCCGTACCTATTATGGCAGATTACACTAAGACACTTACGCACCAATTTCTGCCCTATTCTGTTGGTTATTGAATATTACTATTCTGATGCTTGATCGATAACACATGATTCATATATAGAGAGTCATATCGTAACTCTAATTCTAGTCATATGATAGCATTTAGGTAACTGTCAATGAAGAGTGAATTAAAAAATTTATCAATTAAAAGAATATTCCTCTGTATTTATGTTTTTCCAGAAAACATAAAGACAATTTGAGGGGGCATCTACCACTAAGGATACTAGATAAATGCTATCCGGAGGTGATTCCATGTAGGTTGAGAAGAATTTTCCCTGAATTCAAGATTTGCAGATAATTATTGCAATGTGGAGTTTATTCATGTGAGAGAAGCCAATGAGGTTGCAGAGAGCTTGCTAACATGAGTGTAACCTAGCATTCTATAGAAATTGCTATCTTAGGTACACCTTTATTTATCTCCATAGTCCTATTTTTGTATTCATGCAGACTTATTCAGGAAAGGATTTTCTTTCCTTTTCTTTGTTTTTTCTTTTTTTGGGAAGAGAAACGAGAAGTCCTTGTCTGTCCTAGCTTCAAAACAAGTCAAGATATAGATATTAGGGCACATATAACTAAGCTCCCTCGGGAGGATAGTTTATCTCTACTCCCTCGGCCAAAAGACCTACTTGGGAGGATCTTTTCAATCTAAAATTTTGAGAGCCACTTAAGAATCAATAGATGATTATTCTCAAATCAAAAAAAATTGAAACTTAAGCTTCTTAACACTTAGATCTCACCATCTAAAAATTGGATAGTCTCTATTCAAGCGCAAAGATGGCACAATTAGAATTTTTTGTTTTTGAGGTTAATCAATGAGTTGAAGTGGTTACATCCCCAAAATTTGAAGTCTTCAAATTAATTCTAGGTGAAGTTTTACCCGAGGCAGTAAATGAATTTTCAAACTTAAACAAGTATGGTTTTATGGATGTATATACACAACACTTCAAAAGAAATTTCTTTACTCAATAAACTTGAACAAAGTCATTTTTCAGCAACCATGAATGAAGCAATATTCCAACATTTCAATGACACCAAGTCAAAATTAAGCACATGCACACATGTATGCACTACTCATGATAGCAGGGTTAAAAAGATGCATCAGATTACGAATTTATCTTGTTTCCAAATCCAGAGAATACATTCTAAATGCAACATGAAATGATGTATTTGAGACTCAATGCCCTCAAAAAAAAAATTAATCTATTCTACTTACATGCCCTTGAAGTACCCATGGATGAAGTGGACGCAACTTGATGGTATTAAAGAGTAGAAAAATGATTGCCATCAGTGAATGACATGCACAATTTTTTTTTGAATAAAGACATGCACAGAAGTTGACTACAATAAGAAGGCACATGCTCCCTACCTGATGGAAGCAGGTTATTTCTATACCCTCAGAAGGCAAACCATCAATGTCCTGACAATCATCTGCAAATCCAAGCACATGATTGATGAAACAATGCACATAAAACAATTCAAGGACAATTTCAACAAATACACAAATGCAGAATAAAAACAAATCATGTCAACTTGATATCATCAAACTGCTGACTAGAAGATTACAGAACTTGTTTTAATAGGCTGAAAAAGATTTAAGAATAATATCTTCTGAAGCCAATACAAATCCAAATTACAGCATTTTAAGACATCATTCCAAAAACTAACAAGAAAATTCAATCACAAAAACTGCTGATCAAATTTGGGGGAATTTTGTGTGAAGTTACCCCCAAGAGATTCGCAGTATAACATCTCCCCTTTTTCCCATGCATGAATTCTAAAAATCCCACAAGGCAAGTCACAAGGGGTCAGAACTCAGAAGTTGTTGGAGGGGCAATTTCCAAGTCTGCCCCTCCACTGAAAAAGCAGCTCAAAAGAACCACCAATTAGCAAAATATTAACATTTGCAATACCGACATTTTACAAAAACTCATTACCATTTGGTGTTGGAATTCGAAATTGCAATAAGTCTATGGGAATTTTTAACTACCTAATTAAGTATCATTGTTTACAACGAGATATCAATGTTTTGGAACACCCGTATCTTGTAGTAATTGGTTTTTTGGAAAATAAGTATCATAAACAAAGTTGGCGCTTTTAAAACCACTCACATATTGAAGGAGAACAAAATTTGGAAATTGCACCGCTGATAACTTTTGAGTGCCAGTGACATGCGCCTTGAAGGCCTTTCCATGACTTATTCAAAAGAAAATGATAAGTTATTATATTATGCAACTCTCAGGGGTAGATTACTGAAATTCCCAATAAATTTGCAATACTCGCTCTGGAAATTTACCAACTTTGACTTTCCAAAACATAGACATAATGCCATTCACTTCTATTTTTTGTACATCTTCCTTATCAATAAACAAGTTAACACGTTCAGAAAAAAAAAAACATAATGTCGTTCACAAGGTTTCAGGAAAATATTGTTCTGACTATTTCTTTGTCAAGGGCATTATGTTTTTAAAGCCGCATACAAACACAGGAAAAAGTCGTGATATGTGATATTATATTACAACTAAAGCAGAAAACTGAACAGATCATACTGGCTTAGTGAAAGGGATAGTTAAACCCCTTTGAACTTTGAAGATAGTGCCAACTCCTAGGAAAACCATATAATATAGGCATACCAACCCTAAATTACCTTAGAATGCTACATCCCAAAAACCACCCTATATCACTTAAGAAACCTGAAAACCACACTTTTGGCATCCCAAATCTACGACACTCTCAGTAACTCAACCAAATTAAGTCGACCAATAGTCCATCTTGTAGCAAATTTTGTAACCTTTCTAATGGTTCAAGAATCAAGTCAATCAGATATCTCCAGAAAGTTATGGTCCAGTTCCTGAACAATTTCTGAAATAATCAGATGCACCACTTGCGACACTGTTTGTACTATGGCCAGGTACTAAATGTGCTATTCAGGGTTCAAGTTGCATTGGACCTGTCAAATGGGGGCCATTTCGTGGGGGAACCTTCCAGAAGCTTTGGCAAGCATGCCCATGTTTTGGACATACTTTGGAAATTAAATATTGGGCAACCATTAGAAACCTTAGTGTCCTAGCATAAACCTAAAACTTGGTGTTTCATGCATTTTTCAAAATAATTTTGTCTCTCTGCAAATGAGGAACTTAAATTCAGTCAGACATTGGTGAGACAGAATAATCAAAGGGGTATAAGTATTTTTAAGCATGGGAGGTCTTCCTTAAGCCACATTGGGGCTCACAAGAGGGAGAGACATGAGGTTTTCAGGTGCTTTTAATTTGTGTACCTTCGTGTGCATGTGCATGGCTGGCCAGGTGTGGGTTTGGGTGTGGGTGTCGTTGTTGGGTGTTGGGTGTTGAGAGCAGAAGGCTTTCTTTTTGCTACCCATGGCTACACATGCTTGGGGCATGTGTGCGTGTGGCAAGGACTGCAGTGGCATGCACTACTGACAGAGCTATGCACCGCCATGCTTGGTTAGTAGCAATGTGACAAAATGTGTGCACAACCATAGTCTGTGGCAACGGTGAGTATGGGCCACTGCAGTAGAGACTGTTCTCTGCAGTGGTTTGCACAACACAATATGTATGGACCATAGCGGAAAGTGAACTATACGCCACAGTAGATCTTGCAGTCTCACTCTTGTAAGAGTACGACAAATGTAAGTGGTACCACCTTGCCATGCCCTTAGGATACCAAACACACTTTCTCTCTTACTCCTTGATGTTGTCTGTAGCCATTTGAAATCTGCCAATATGTTGACCTTTCCCACATCTAACTACATGGCTACAAATGCTTGGGGGCATGTGTGTGTGTGGCAAGGACTGCAGTGGCATGTACTATTGACAGAGCTGTGCACCGCCATGCTAGGTGAGTACCACCGTGACATAATGTGTGGACTACCATAGTCTGTGTAATGGTGAGTAGGGGCCACTGCTGTAGGGACTGTTCTCCGCAGCGGTGGTTTTCACACCACAATAGGGTGTATGGACAACGGCGGTAAGTGAACTATAGGCCAGAGTAGATCTTGCAGTCTCACACTTGTGAGAGTGTGACACATGTAAGTGGTGCCACCTTGCCATGCCTTAGGGTGCCCAACACACTCTCTCTTACTCCTTTATGTTGTTTGTAGCCATTTGAAATCTGCCAATGCATGTTGGTCTTCACCACACATCTAACTACTCTAACCCCGAGTTTTTTAAGGGGCTTATAGAAGAACAAACACTAGAGAAAGAAAAATAACTCCTAGGAACTTTATCCTGAAACTTCTCAATACTTCTTTCTCCACTTCCTCCATCGTTTACTCTGCAAAACAGCTGCTTCTGTTTCTTTCTCTCTCTAGAACTTGTGTTGCTCCCACAGCCTACTGTGTGGTGTTGTTTTAATCTCGAAACAGTGAACTTTTAATAAGTTTTCCTCGAGAGAAGTGGCAAATCAGTAAGATCTTGTGGCTCTGGGTTTCTCGAGTGGAAACTAGAGATATCAATAGTGCTTCATTAGGAAGTTGTGTCCTGACTCCTGAGGGTTATTTCAATGGACCCTCTATTGCATGCTAGGAAATCAAGGAGGGTGTCAATTACCTTGAAGGCAGTAATGACTCCACTGTGTGTCCTCGGATCCAAAAAAGAAGCACTAATTCAATTTTTTTTTTACTTTTGAGTTCTATCATGTATAAAATCACGTTTTGTAGGGACCCTAAACCAATATGAATACTACTCTGGATGAGACTAAGGACCCAGTCTCAATTTTCCCAAAAACCAGCCTCCATAGGATTAAGAAGACCCTAATCCTAGCATCCCAGATTGTGGGCACAACAAGCCCATGTGGACCTATAGATCCCATGCAAAAACATTCCTTTTCTTCAACAAGTACCATCAACGCTTCAAAACAACCACATTTCAAGCTTGATCTCCAAAACTATAACATAGATCAGAGACCAAAATCCTTCCATTTGATCTGATAAGTGCCCCAAGGCTCCTGGGTGTTCAACACATACAGGCCCCACTAGGTATTTTTTCTCTCTTTCTCCATTAGTTTGCATTTCTTTAATTGGAATATACTAAATGCTAAATGCTTAGAATATACTAAATGCTTAGATCTGATATTTTCTTTTCTTTCTTTGATGTCTCTAGAAAATTTCTTTCATTTTCTTCCAAACAATAGGATCATCAGTGCCCAGCTATTAACTCGAAGTGGATGGATCACAAAGTTTGATTTTCTGAGTTAATTTCGACTGGAACCTCCTTTGGGGCTGATCCATCTTTCAGATCATTATTTTCAAGTTCATAGTGATTCAAGGAGAAAAACCATAGTTAAGGGAACCTTGTGGGTAGCGTGACGATCCCGCTCCGGAACCTCAATCCCCATGGATCTAGTAGGGACCCCAGGTTTTTAATTTTGGGATCTCGTTCCCAAAAAAAGGGGGATCACGTGCCATCCATCAGTGAAATCCAATTCCATTTCGAAATAGATCCCCACTCCCATCAACCATGGTCCAAGGTTTTGGTACATTGAAATCTTGGGTTCCATGTTTCTGGGATCTAGTTTGATTAACAGATAATACCAGGTTAAAGATTGCCATTGTCCAAAGCTCCCATTATTTAAGAATCATAAGTTCCATGAAGTAAAATCCATTCCCTTTTTTGCATAGCACGAAGTTCCATTATTTTAGATTCTTAATTTGAACTAGGGATGGTCTATATTGACCCATTGTTTTATTAAGTCCAGTGATTTAAAAAGTGGACCGCCTAGCCGCCTGGGCGCATCGCCCAAGCCTAGGAGGCCAATCTGGGCAATCCATCCCAGGGTGGCCGCCTAGCGCCCAGCCCTGGGCGGCTGCCCAGGGCCTGCACTCCACCCAAGGGTGGAAATCCATTTCGATGAGAGCAAATTTGGCCATTTTTCGTTGTTTTTAAGGCCCAAAATTTAGGGTTTTAGGTTCATTTGAAACCTAAACCTTGTAAAGAGATAAAACCACAAAAAATTAGATTGTGGTGAATTTTTCAAGATCCAAGGGTCACTCAAAGTTAACCAAAAATGATCAAAACATCACCCATTGATACTATATTTACTTTTTGATGGTTTGCAAAGTTATTAGAGGGTCTTTTAGAAGATTTTGAGCATTTAGGAACATTTTTGAAGTGGAAGTTTGAAGATTGAGCAATCAAACTCAGTTACTCAAAGTAAGTGATTTTTTTTATTACTCTAGCCTTTAGTAATTTGCATTATTTTTTAGATGTCTTCTTCGGGATCTAATAGGAGTGGTGATCCCGGTTGGAAATACGGTTATAACCCAGATCCTAATGATAAAAATTGCATAAGATGCAATTTTTGTGAAAAGGATACAAAAAGGGGCATAAACTGGTTCAAGAAACATCTACCAGTTCAAGAAACATCTTGTCGGTATCAGGGGAGATGTTGCCCCATGTAAAAAGATTCCTAAT